TTCATCAGCATTTTGCTGCAAGAAGGCCGAATTTTACCACCAGAACCTCGCAGAGTACGTACTTCTCAAGTTCCAAGGAGATGTCTTCCATTTACACATGTGTAATTATATGTATATATTATGTATTTCGACAGTGATTATTTTCGCACACACAACCCGTTTAAAGTGTAGTATTTCAACAATAACGTATCCGAGGAGGTTTCAAAATTGGAGCTAAATTTTTTATCACTTCCCAGATTAACCCAAACATTTTCTCAGCAGGTGATGAATTTTTTGTGTTTAACTGAAATTTTCTACTTCTCGAAACTTAACTAGCTCGTGCTCATCGCATGCCAACGAATATCGTTAAAATATATGTGTAGATAAGTAGGCAAAACAAGTCGTCAAAATCGTTAGAGTGTTTTCAACGAAGGCTTATATAAAATTTTGTAAAAGAGAAATGTTGTAAATAAAATGTGATTAGGCGACGAAAAAGCCCCATACTCATAAAGTCTCTCAAGTTTGTTGCTTATCTAAATATTTTACGAGTATTTCCAGATTATGTTAAAATATGACACAAAACCAGGGGAAAATATGTTTTCAAGAGGACGAAGATATGTGACTTTTTTATTGTTTTACTTAATTGATAATTTCTTGAATATTTGAAATTTCCTGTCCAAAAAATATTTATTTGATAGGTAATTAAAATTTTTTTTTTAATCTTTCGATAAACATTGTTTGGTCAAAAGAGTTTTTTTTTTTGGAATATAAAACATATTTTTGAATATAACAACAAAGCCACTTAAAATATATTTTGTAACGCAAATGGCTTAACACTTTCATTGCATTAATTTTGCCAACTTATCAGTTATATTGTACATGTAAATAAGACAATCTCTATATTTTGCTCAATTTTGTCGCGCCCATAACGTCATGGAAAAAAATTTAGAAACATATTTCTGGTTAATTACTGACTGAGTTTTAGCATAGTGCCGAAAATAAAAAAAAACTTTGACACGCTTACTGTAGAGTGGCTTTATATGGCATATTTGTTTTGTCTTCTTCTTTCTTATTGTAATTCATTTAATTTGCTTAATTTTTTATAAATTAATGTTTTATTATTTATTTTATTCTATTTTATGTGATATCGTTTTATTTTATATTCGTTTATTTAATTAATTTAATTTATTTTATTTTGCTTTATTTTATTCCATTTAATTTTGTATTTTATTTGATCTCATATAATTACACTTTACTTTCTTTAATTTTTTTTTGGTAAATTATAATTTATTGTATATTAATTTAATTTAAATTTATTTAATATTAAGACATTATGTTTCTCAAAATTAACAGTTTAAAATGAAAAACAGCTAAGTCAAATTTCCTTGAAATATTTATTCCTTCCGTAAACTACTTGCTCACACAACTCGCCATTTACAACATATAAAAAAATATACATATATGCAAAGAATTAACATAACATAAATGAAGCAATTTACCAATATTCATTAATTCATTTTATATTGACATTTATACATTTAAAAATTTAGTCGTAATTTTTCAACGTAATTTTTGTCTTCTTCGTGTGGACATTCACAATGAGTAAAAGCAGTGATGTATTTTATAGGAAAACTCCTACAAATCTCACAATATTAAATACTTTGCTTTAAGCTATTTTTATTTCTAACTTTATTGTATTTTATTTTAGCTTATTATTTTATGTTCACTTCTTTGTCATTAAATTAAGTTTTATTTTAAAATAAATTAATATCATATGTTTTTTATTTGCTTCTGCTTTTTTTTTTTTATTTTACTACAGTTTTTTTAAATTAATTTTATTCATTTTTATATTATTTTATTTTAATTTTCTGTTATATTTTGGTTATATTTTATATTTTCATTTAGTTTTATACCATTTAGTTTGAGCTTATATTAATTTTGTTAAAACTATTTTCTTATATATTCTTTTATTTTATTTCCGTTTATTTCCTTTAAATTTTTCATTATATTTTAATTTATTTTGTTTTCTTTAATTGAACTTTATTTTATTTTATTTTATCCTATTTTATTTGATATAGTTTTATTTATTTTACTAAATTTTATTTTAATTATATTAATTTATTTTTATTTACTTAAATTGATATTATTTCATTTTATTTTAATTTAATTTAAGTTAAATTATGCTATTCCTTAATATTTTTATCTTATTTGCTTATTAATATTATATTTACTTATTTTTGTACTTTGTGTTAATTAATTTAAATTTATATACAGCTTAAAATATTATGTTACAATAGACCTTGTTATTTAATTTAATTTAATTTTTTTTTTCAATTCAATTTATTTTTCATTATGCTATTTTATAGTATTTTCGTCTTAATTTCCTTGTTTTTATCATAATATATTTAATTTGGTTTTATTTTGCTTTATATATATAATTGGCGCCCTGGCAGCTGCCTCTCACTGGGATTTTTTTTGTATTAATCAATTTATTTCATTTCAGTTTATTTAATTTAATTTCTTTTATTGTTTTTTTTTTTACTTTTTTTCTTATATTTTTAACAAAAATATTTATTTAAAAAAATATTATTTTAATTTATTTAGAATTATTTTACTATAAATTTTATATTGTTTTTTATACTTTTATAAATTGATTTAATTTATTCAATTTAATATTATATTTGGTTTCATATTATTTAATTTTTCTAGATTTATTTCATTTCAGTTTATTTAATCTAATTCAATCCAATTTGTACATCGTTAGTCCATTGCCTATTGTGACGTTGAAAATGAATACATCCTGTGTACGAACAGTAATGCTGCAACTACCCAACGCGCGTACCAGCCGTCCATAGTAACCTCTCTTATGAGAGCGCCATGTAAACACAACGTTGTCACCGCTTGCCCATGCCGTTAGCGACGGTTGTTCCGCAGAAACCAACGAAGATTTGATTTTTTCCGTAAAACCGGCTCGGCTCATTTTTCGTTGCCATACAAGGTTGCCAGTATAGCCTTTCTTCAAGTAACATTAAATAATCGAAGACAATGCGTAGTTTTGTTCAAAAGAAATGAAAAATAAATGCGTAACTAATTACTTGTTACTATATAGATAATGTATACATATATGTCTTGTGTTTATGTTCAAGCAAATAAATCATGAAATTCGTTGAAGAAAATTATGAATTTGTTCAAAAGTGTGCAAACACACAGGCAGCTGGCAACATTACGCCGCTCTCAGCGGCGTCGATAACTCGTGTGTGTATCTCGCCTTTTCGTCGCCACTTATGGACGGCTGGTGAGTAAAATGGGTAGTTGCAGCCTAAGCGTGCACATACGCTCTCCTTATACACATGTGTATATACAGTGGCTCACAGCCGAGGTGATGCAGCTATGTAAGAAAGAGTACGATAAGTATTATTTAAAATTAAATAAATTTCCCAAAAAAACATAAATGTCAGTTAATAGCCGCCGATATACAGAATTCATTATTGCTTTAATGCTACACGAATAAGTTAATGTAATCCATGCTCAAACTTATGAAAGCAATCATAGACAGAAAGGGGTATCCTAGTAAGTATTAGTTAACATATGACAATCTTAGTTTTGTTCTTAAAAAAAAGGAAATATATTAATTGTTTTGTTACCGCATCATTTTCGCTGTGAGTTACAATTTAATAGTGAATTATGTTTTTTTGTTAATTACATAAAATATATATAAATAAATATATTTAAAAGCATAAATGAAATGTGTATATTTGCCGCTATTAACTGGAATTTATGTTTTTTTTTTTGGAAAATTTAATTAATTTTAAATAAAACTTATCGTACTCTTTTTTACGTAGCTGCATCACTTCGGCTGTGAGCCACTGTATATGCATATATGTATGTATGTATGTATGTAAAAACTCTTTCTACCGACGAAACGCATATTTACATGTATGAAGATGTATAAGCATGTATATACATATGTATGGATCTCTACGAGAGTAAGTAGGGTTGTGAGCATAATAAAACTTATGAATATATGTACATGTACATATGTACATACAGATATGACTCGGTAAACAAAGTTACTTAACCTAGATGTATATACAGTACGATTGCCGCAACAGCATAATTGTTAAAAATGTTTATTTTCAGTTTAATTTTTTTTAAAATGGAATTATAAAAAAATTATATATGTATGCATATAGTACTTAAATTACTTTAGTAAAAATAATATCAAACATCGATGAATAACAAACAGTATCGTAGATAAAAAAGGTAGCAGTAAAGCATTTGAATACTTAAATGCATATATGTATATACTACATATGAGTATATGTATGTACCTACATACCTGTTTTATGCATACATTTTCGTATTCTTCTTTCGTCTCAAACAATTTTATGTATACTCAATGTATAAAATGCGAAAAAGAGAGCGATATACTTGTGCAAAAAACAAGCGACGTTGAGTTTGCAGCCAAGCCAATGGTGAATAGAAGAAGCCAACATGAAACTACTTTTGCTGGTACAGCCATTCATTGAAAAGATGAATTGGCGTTGAGTTTACTTGCTTTACATGTACATATTTATATGTATGTATACAGATATGTTGACTGGTTTTGACTGGTCGTCTTTTAGAGGTTTAGTTGAATGCACGCTTTCGTTCGGTTTGGATGTACGAGATATGTATATGTACATACGAATGAAAATTCAGAAGGAGAATTTTTCTTTATTGTGCAAAAGGAAATAACTGTAGTTAAATTTTATCAAGAACAAAAGAAAAGGGAAATTTTATATGTACATATGATATTTTGAATACTTGGAAGAAAAAAACAAAGAATTGAAGGAATTAAATTATAGAGCAGAAGAAATAGGTAAGTGATTATAGAAATTCATACAGATTATGTATATGTATACATACATACATAATATGCAAATGTAAATAATTATGGATATACATTTTCATATAATAATAATATAATAAAAAAATAATAAAATAAAAATAACAAAATGTAAAAATCCTTACAATTTCAGTTTGCAAACAGTAGAATATGTCTGAGCTTTCATCATTGAAAGCGTTACTTACTTCTTGGGGTCTGCCGGAGTTATTTGCACAATTTCAAGGTAAGCATGCCGTACTCTGTTAAGCGCATTTCCATTAAGGCTATAAACACTTAGGCGACGACACGACATTTCAGTTTAGAAGCGAGGGTTTCTCCGATTGAAAAAAAAAAAACATTTTACAAAGGACAGCAACCGTAGTAAATGCAAACAATTATACTTATCAAGTATGTTTCAAAACCTTTTCAAAGTATACTTTTTTAATCTAAAAGGGGCAAAAAGGGATATCTTTGGCCATGTTGAAGTCCTTATTAGTTTCATAAATATAATATAATATATTAAGTTTAAATAGTTATATAATATTTATTTCATATTTTTATAATTTTTTTTAGCATTAGTGTTACTTATTTATGTATGTATAATGGTTCAGCAGAGTACAGAGTTGCTATATATATACATACATACATACAAACATACTTAAGTAGTTTGATTCTGATTTTGAGAATTATGATTCGTATATCTGAAGACAGTTGAATCATAATTCTCACTTGCATAGCAGCTACATACATATTAAATAGTCATCTGAATTGTCTGCTTTCGGCAATTGATAAATATCTACATACTAAATTTCGTCCGAATATCTCAAAAACTGAGTGTCGTAAGCACAAATAGACGGGCGTAAAAACTCAATTCGTCATTCGGGTCCGTTCTCCCTCCAGCGATTCAGATATTTCATTTTTATGTAAGAGATAAAAATGCTAAAGTAAATTTTTTTCTTTCACAATAATTTTTTTATTTTATTAAATTGAGTTCGGTATAATTTTTTCCAATTCTTCAATATATTGAAATATTTAAGAAACAACTCATTTGCTCGTATCGTCGCTTATCATTTTGAGTTGGTGGCAACGATCGTTTGCAGTTCTGCCGTCGTGGTGTCGTATCGCTTTTAAATAACTGCAACCATAAGAGTTCGTTTTAATTTTGGCGCTTGCCATTACGTCGTAGCCTAAAGCCGATGGTGGATAGGATTTTATTGCTTTGCGCGATATTTCAACTTAGACGTCAAAGTCGAACCGTCACGCAACGCAGCGCAAAAGTCCTATCTGCCATCAGCTTGAGTCTTCTGTGCTTCAAGCATAGAAAATGAACGAAAAATTTTGTAAAGGAAAAAAGTGTGTTAGTCTATTAATGGTTATGCAATTTTTTTTTTCGAATATTTAGACACATTTCATGATCGATCAAGGCTAAAGCCGAGACGAGTTTTTGATTCTTCCCTAATAAATAACCAAGTGTTATAATATCTCTTTCCACAGATGAAAGCATTGACATCGAAGAGCTAAAAATGATGAAAAGCCAACACATTACTGAGTTCCTACGTTCTCATAAACTCGGCACACGCATACGTTTTGAATATCATTTCGAGCGTTGGCGTCGTGATCAGAACAAGCCTTTAACAGATCCGGTGATGCCGAATTGCACACATACACATTACGCATGCTCAACGCCGTCACACACAACAGACTTGTTGAGGCCCGAAGCAAGGGAATCTACTGTTGCAAGTAATAAAAATCTACAAACACGTGCTACCAACACAGCAGCGGTGTCTTACGTCAGTGTAGCGACGAATACTACAGCTGAATTGACATTTAAAGCGCCAAGACTTGATAAAACACCAACGCCGCCACCCCCGCCGCCACCGCCACCGCCACTATCAATACAACTACCACCGCAGCCGCCACCAGCACCACTACCGACGATATCACCAAAGCTATCGCCCCCGAAAGTACTACCATCAGCACCACTACCGCCGTTATCTAAACCTTCGTCACCAACACCGCTTCCGGCTATTAAGAATTCGTTACGTGAAATGCCGAGACGTAGTGTACGTCAGGTCAGCAGCAGTGTGTTGGAGGTAAGTGGCATGGTGGAGATACCGAAAGCATTTCTATTATCACCAACAACAACAACATCAACAACAACAGCGACAACAACGACAGCGACAGCCATGACAGCACCAACAATAACAACACCAGCCGTCACAACGACGTCAACATCCAATGGGCGCCGCTTTTCGGTGCCATTCACCGACGATCCGGACGACGAGCATTTGGATAATGGCCCAATCTTGCATATTATCAACTCATCCGGCGCCAAGGGTCAGTCTCTGCTCGATTACTATGCGCAACATAAGAAGTTTACCAACACACAACGGTCTCTCCTCATACAGTTGATTGTGAATTTCTTCGATATGCATGAATATCATTTATCGCTGAAGCTCAGTCACAATTTGGAAGAGCAGATACTGCGTTTGTTCCCGAGCGAAAAATTGCATTACTATCGCACGGAGAAACGTGGCAAAATCTATGTGAAATTCTGTAATATGAAACGTTACAAACGTGATAGACCAGCGGCGAAACGCAGGTGTTTGGATGCAGAGGATGGTGCTGTTGAGAATGGTGGAGGCGCTGACGGTGAAGCCGCGGACGGTGGTATGGTAATGGAGCCAGAGGTTGGCATTGAATGTGATGATGACGAGGATGACAATGTGGATTTCATATCCTGGCAACAACTCATGCAGCAGCCAGAAGGTGAGGTGCAAGTGAAGACTGAAATGTTAGGCGAAAGTGATTACCAATGACTGGGGTTCCTTGGCAACTTCAAGCGAAAGTTGTACGAATAATTACACATTCAAAGTAAGAGAACTTCAAAATATTTTTCACGCCAGTTTTAGGTGTTAACCATGAATTCCATTACTTTATATTATTTTTAAGCGCAGTTAAGGTTAGATTAGACGAAAGTTTATTTTCCAATTTGAATTGTAACAATTTATGTGAGGTAAGAGCTTAGATGAGATATCTGTATATGACTAAAGATAATAAAGTCTTTTGAATAACTGCTAATATTTATTTTTACGATTGGTTGTGTTTTGGGTACTTGAATTTTACGACAGTTAAAGTCGTCAAGCACAAGTTTTACCTCGTACCGACAGCAGCAGTCATAAGTACGCTCCAAACGCATTTAGAAGACATCTTTGTCCACATAATGTTGCCCTTCCGAGGGATATGTTAAGAAACTTAGTTACGATGCGGTTTTTGGCGCGACATTCATCCACGGCGACTGAGTAGTTGGCAAACGGTACTAACATTCGGAAGACCGGGTGTAATCAAACATTCCAAATTATGGAAAATTAATTTTTCTAATTGCGGTCACACCTCGCCATGAAATATGAACCTCTCCTTCTACTCATAAAAATCCAGCTGCCGTTCGAAAGCGGTTTAGGATAAACGGAAGGGCCCGCAATTCGTTGGAAAAACGTCAAGTCGTATAACACAAATTGAGGGACGAGCTCAGCTGAAAATCTCTTAAGCGGGACAGCTTCACATTTTTCTATTCACTGCACTTTTTGGACGTCTGTAATTCCAGCCTTTAGTCTTACGAGTTCATCTTTCTAATTAGCGGATCGGACCTTTCAAGTGTATACCATAAAATCATTGTTCTTTATAAAAGGTCGTCAGCAAAGTGGGTTCTCTCATTTGACGCTTTGCCAACTTTATCACTTTCCGTGCCTCTAACCGGCCTGGAAACTTTGATATTAAGAAAAAGATTGAAGCAATATACATCTTTTGGAAGTAACATTAGATTGTGCTTCATTAATCCCATTTTTATGTCAACTGGTAACAGATGTCCTTATAAAGTTGAATTCTCACATCGTCGTCATTCTAGACCAACTCATTTCCTAAGTTCTCTCCCGACAAATAAACATCAAACCTTATTATTTGGCTTATCATACCAGTTCTGATAAAATGCAAAGTTTCTTCTTAAATGAAGATGACACCTTTTTTTCAATTGGTATATTCGTGCTATGCTAAAGGACCAAGTGACTTCAGGCCCTTATTCACCCAATATTTGCAACAAACTTCTTCTTCTGTCTTTACTTCCATCAGAGGGTACTGCATCGAAAACTTTCAAAGCGCCTAAACGGATGGCATGACCTATCCAGCGTAACCATCATACATCATGTACTGTTCAGTTTTGGGTCGTTTTCGGTATTCGCCATTGACATGACGTTAAGAATCGTGCAGACATCTTACAACTCGAAAACTCCTAACGCCGATTCACGTGTCTCGACCTTACGAGCAGGCTGCAAAGGGATCAGCGACCCTTTTCAATTGCCTACTCAGCCCAAAGTAGCACCTTTTGCCAAGAGTGATTCTCAGTTGTGTTTGGTGGTAATACGGTAATTACTTGGTGCGGGGTTTAATCTATTTGGTGGATGCATAAGAAGCTCTCGGGGTTTCTGGCGAGTCATTATCGATGTGTGTTCGAATTCCACTTTTTTTTGGCCAAGGCTAGGCGCTTCTGGTTAATTGCTATCTTCCGACAATATGGGTCCGAATGAGGAGTTTGGTCGTAGTGAAGCAGCTCATAGTGAGTCGACGATTTCCATTATATTTTACGAAATTTTCTCTAATTAGCCTTCCACACCGTGAATCATATTTTACATCAAGATTACTGGATCGAAGTCGACGAAACCAAGTTTATGCCGAATTGACTGTTACAAAATCATGACTATACAAATTTTCAGCTATTTTCGTTTTTATTAAAGAGAAATTGTAGACTTATAACGTATTTTCTCTTTGGTGGTGTACATCTTTGATATGCTGCCAAACACTACTGAGTCCAGTGAGCCAACATTTTTCTCTTTAACTGTCTTTGTCAAGGATGCAATGTAACGAAAAATTCACTTTAATCGAAAAATTTATACCGTTTAGATTGAAACATTTGGAAATATTAACGTTACAGTAGGTACCAAAATAAACTTCATTGTTAATAATAACAGATAATGTTAAACGTAGCAGATAATGTTCAATCGCTAACAGATAATGTTAAATCCGTAACAGATAATATGAAGCCGTTAACAGATAATGTTAAATCGTTAACAGATAATATTAAATCGTTAACAGATAATGTTAAACGTTAACAGACAATGTTAAATCGTTAACAGATAATATTAAGTCGTTAACAGATAATGCTAAATCGTTAACAGATGATGTTAAGCGTTAAGAGATAATGTTATATCGTTAACAGATAATGTTAAATCTTTCACGGATGATGTTACATCGTTTGCAGATAATATTAAATCGTTAACAGATAATGTTAAACGTTACAATTGAAATGTGCTACTAATATCATATCAAGCAGCCATTTTAAAAGTAATGTTAACGATTTCATTTCATTGAGCTAATTTTTCTTATTAGTGAATCGGAATGATGTCGTTGCGTTTGTTGATCAGCTCTGATATTAGTACAAAACATCATCTTTCTAACTAGATGGAGTTAGATGACGTAATCCAATCAAACTTTTAGAACTCCAGCTACATATCATTGGCCGCCATTTTATAATCACTAAATAATGATGTGGGTGGAAAATTTTTTTTAATTTTAATATTCCTTAAAATTGCTATTTCCCTTTCTTTTAGGGCATTCAAGGAAAGTTTTGCTTTTAACTATTCTTCATGCTATTCAGCCACTTTGACTAATGTGACACTTAAAGTCAAAGCAAATACGCTCAAAAAAACTATAAACGATTAATAACAGTCAACTACTTATTTTCCGGTAAATATCCAACTAATTTTTATTGCATTTTTATGTTTTTCCAATAAAATTAGTTTTTCAGGAACAGATAAGTAAATTATATATGGATACATAAATACATACATATATATAATGAAATAAAAAATTGTTTGAACAGAGTTCAATAAAGTTACTTTATGTACCCATATTTAATGGCCTTTCGATATGCATAATTAATTACAAAAATATAAACGATTTTTATTTTACGAATCTGAAAAATAAATAACTGCAGAACTTTGGTTGCATTAAAACCATTGCGCTATCAAAAAGATAATAATCATAAAACCGTCAGCAGCAGCAATCTCATGTAAAACCATCTCATATATGTACATATGGTATATACATACATATGTATATAATATATATATATTTACATATGCATGTATATATATTATTTATTATACAATTTAATTGGCCACTCCCGAACGATTTAATAACCCATTTAATAATAAATAAGTTCGGTCGCTTTGTAATCGTTAGATAAACTCATGAATTCATAGTGTGTAGCAAAGGAAATATGTATGTACTCGTATACATATCATAATCGGCAGTGTAAGTATTACAATTGTGTCAGACTTTGTTGTTTATTTTGGAATTCATGAGCTTGCATGTGGGTGATGGCTAGACTATTTGTGCTGAGAAGACTGTGAATAACCTAAGAATACTTTTATTGTCCCTCATTAGGCGACCGGTTCTGTGTACTGAGTTGCTTTCGGGCCCCGACTGCAATCAGAGGTGACAATGTACTTTCGATGACGAATAGCGCTATTGAGAATACGACCTATTTGAGCTATTCACAATGGTTTGTTGCTAGGGTGGATAAAGAAGGTTTCTCTCTTCTGCAAAACTGGCACAAAATTCAGCATCCACAATGAAACATTCCCAAATGTATTGAGGCTGATTCTCCGGTGCTTGAAATATGATTGTTTATAGTAGATTCCAGCAGCAGAAAATTTACCAAGCTCGACTTGGAGCACTATCTTTTATCTTTCATTATCGTTTTTCTATAGAGTATGAGTAGTATTGAGGCCTAGGCGATGACAACATCTGATGAGTCGGCGATAGGAGTTTTCGAAAGAAAATTTGTAATCGCTAAAGCGACTTTCGGCCGAGGTACTCCTTCAATTTGTGGTGTTGCCTCTTGATATTTTTCCAACAATAGGAGGGACCTACAGTTTAAACTAAGCCGCCTCTGAGTTGCTAATGGCTCTTTTACGAGAATCCTCTATTTCATGTCCGAAATACACTCGAAGTGGTGGATAATCCCTGCCTGGGAGTGACCGCTATTAGAAAATTTAACTTAATTACTTACTTAAATAATTTTCCATAACTTTTTTAGGTGTGGGGGCACCGGGATTTGAACCCGAGCTATCCGAATGTCAGTATGCAATGCAAACCACTCGGCTACCGTGGCCGACAACGGCAAATTAAGAGACATCGACTAAGCTGACGAGGTTATATCATTCGTATAGCTGAAAGCACTCCAGCTTTGAAAGTATTCCATGCACTGCCAGCTGGTAGAAGCAGAGTAATAGGGAGACCTCCGCTCGGCTGGGAAATCCAGATGGAGAAGGACCTGTCTGTACTTAGTATTTCCAATCGGCGCGTGAGCTGTGTTTACGCCAGCATAGGAGGTTAAGATAATTTCAACGGGGTAGCTTAGCATATAATACGAATTTGAAATGGGCTGGAAAATGTGTTAAAAAGAGAATTATAGAGCAAAGGAGTATGTCTTCCTTATGGAAATGTAGGTAACGACTACTCTATTTGATCTGAGATGACTCAGAAAGTTCCGTCGGAGATTTATGCCATAATTTTTCTTCATTACTTTATTATAATTCACTACAAAAATTTCATCGAAATCGCTATGTCGATAAGCAAAACTCTCAAATATTTAACGAAACCATCGATCTTTTAAGAGAAAAGTTTCCGGACTGTGTTATCTCTCGAAAAGGTGATAGCAATTGGCCATTGAGATCTTGTCTTTTCCAGCCTTGCAGCTTCTTTCTTTGGGGTGACGTGAAAGATAAAGTCAACGCCAGCAGGCCAAGGGCGTTTCAAAGCTGGAATTTTTAAGGCTATTGGTGGCATACAGCGGCCACTATGCAATTTGGTGATGGAAAATTTCATAAAAAGAATACATCTGGCTAATATTCCTCCTCGAGTTCATCATAAGAATAAAATATAATAAGTTCTCCGAATGAAAGTTTATGGATTTTTATGAGAAATTTTTTTATTTCGTGCCAGAAATATACTCGGAGGAG